TACTGCAGGACCAAATATGACAGAGGAGCCATCAGCATTATTTTAAATCTTTACTGATTACAAAACAAAGCAGATGGCAAATCAAGTCATGAACTCCRCATCTGCCATGCTTAATGAACAGTTTAATTACCCAGTCCCATTTCTGATGCATCTTTGCCATTCTCAGCTCTGGGAGTCACTTATACACTTCACACTGACTGATATCTGCAGGAACATGTGGGATCAGCAATCAGGCTGGCATTGGATAATCAATAACTTGTTTAATCTCTAACTTTTATGGTGATGGCCTAAATTATGGCTCAATAGAAACAGATTTCCTATCGTATCACATGATCTGGTTGAGGGCTCAGCAAACAAAAGGGGATTTTTCAGCCTTTTCTCTGGGCAGAAGGGTACCCAGAGGCAGACAAATGCACAGCCAGGAAATAAAAACAGAGAAACAAAAACATCCAAAACAGGCAGAGCAGTTCAGTCTTTGTGTTATGCCTTACAGAAAGCAAGGGCTGCAATCGTGGCACTGTGAATTCATAAAKATTACAATTTCAAGAGCAAACTGGCCTCATCTGGAGTAAGTTACACAAAGGAACTGAAATTGGGTTTGAGTTTTGAGCTTCCTGCAAAGGATCGTGCTCTGGCTGCCAAAAGCAGGGTGTTTTGTTTGGGGTCAAACCCCTGCTGATCCCACTCACCCCACAGCTCCTGGCAGTGCCTCCAGCACTCTGGACACAGGAGGAATCTCTGTTTTGAGGAGTTACTCACCTGGACACGTGCAGGGCAAGGGCTRGCAGCTCTGAGCCTTAATCCTGAGTAAGGAGAGCAGTGAAGACTGAGCAAAATTGGGTAAAAACACTGGAGGAGAGGAGGAGATGATCATCAACCTTTGGCTCTCCACATCAGCTGACTTTAGGAGCTTCTCAGAGTGCTTTTATTGCTGCTCTCCAGCCTCATTGCTGCTGTACGAGACCCAGCTGTGCCCTCTGGAAGCTGCCCTCCTGACATAAATAAATTTMTTTCCAAGAAATACTGACTCAATCAGCTGCTTACACTCAGATAAGGATTTTCACAAAGGGTTTTGCATTTTGGAAGCCTCCATATTGTATAAAATTTCTTAAGAGATCCAAATTTTAGCCATTCAGCAGCAGAATTGACTGTTTTTAACAGGCCCACTTCATAAACAAAGCTCCTAGAAAAAGAGAAACACTCACAAGCTTAAGGAGAACACAAAAGTCAAACTGTGTGAATAAACATGGCATTCCAAGCAAACACAGCAGTAAATCAAGCAGGGAAAAGGGCACTGGGTCTTTCCCCAGCATTTCAGGCATCTCCCAGCACTGCTGTATCACAACTACCTCAGGTACCAAAGCAAAGATGAAAAATTTCCCCAAAACTCTGAGCTAAGGGAAAGCAAAAAGCAAACCCAGCCAGGCAGATCCTTGAAAGAGAGACAGGAACCATCCCTTCAAACATCAATTTCTGTTCCATCACCTGCAGTGAAGGGAGTGACACTCCTGGAGAAACTTTCCAGTCTCGGTGCTGCCCAGATCTGGTCTGTGTTTCACATGTAAATCAGAAAAATTCAGCAGTGCTCTGATTTACAAGGACACATGGGACAAAGTGATCAACAGCATGTTCTAAACAGCAGTTTGTGAGCAGGAATCACCAGGATGCAGCTCCTGCTCCAGGATTCCAGGATTCCACTGCCAGCAGAGGAATTGATGGGACAGGACCACGGCATGAAAACATCAGAAATTGGGGAATTCTGTCCTTCAGRTCTGCCAGGGAAGAGAGATGAGTTGTGATGCACTGAACTATCCCAGTCTATGCCAGCCTCGAGCAGCAAACCAACTGCAAAAGCCCAAGGAARATCAGGAAACCCAAAACAAGCAAATGGGGCGAGGAAGGAAGCAATGGACAGAGATGTTAAATGCACTGAAATGGAAATATGAGAGCAACCAAGACAGACAGAGCCACAAAGTGCTTCAATCATAAAAAAAAACAGTCACTATAGAAGTGAGAAGAAGCCAGACTAGCAAAGCAAGAACGCCCTGAAGAGAGAACACTTACTGCTGAATATTTGTTCCTGCTGCTACCAAACGAAGGACAACTCATTATTTTCTATTCACATTTTAAAACACATTTCAGAACTTGCAGGTTCCAGTTTGAGCACAAAGAAAGGGAAACTGTTACAGCATTAAATTTGCCCTGTCCAGTGCCTCTGACGCCTTTCAGGCCTTATTTGCTCAGCACACAGGAAYTGATTCACTGCCCTAGCACAGGGTCAAACACACACAAATGCAAAAGCCATACTATCAAAAGCAGCAGCAATTCAATCATATATATAATAGTCTACCCCTAAATTAGATTTCCACAGACCTATTTAACAAGACAAAGATTGAATAGAGAGAACTCATCTTTTCCTTTCTCAAATTACATAGAAGCACACTATACTACTGGTGCCACTAATTAGATGATTAAATACCATTCTAGGTGATATGCTTTCAATGTAAAATAATTATTTTTGACAGGAAATATATTTGCTCAATCTCGTTTTAAATCAAAATATCACACTTTTTTTTTTTTAATTAAATGAAATTCCTTCTTCTGATTTTGCATGAGAAGAGCACCCAGCAGGAAAAACAGTGCTGAGGATAGATTGTCCAAGTACCATAGTGCATGTAACTCCTGCACAAAGGACCCCAGCTTTCTCTGGATGGAATATAAATTTTCAGAGAACAGCAAGGTTTTTATTCCTTCAAAATAGGAATAAAGCACACTGAAAACCTCCCCTGTCAAAACACAAGTTTATTTGCCATGGTCTGAGGAAGGACACTTCCCAATTTTTCTATGCTCCTCTTCGGGGTGAGCACAGCAAACCAAGCAAAGGTTTGTCCTTCCATATAAATCAGGGTACAATCCAGCACAAAACAAAATACTGCTGTGGTTTTACCCCACACTTAAAGCAAAGTAATGAYATCTTTGTGTTCTGTGACAAAAAGTGTTTCTGCTGAGCACTGGAGAAAAGTTAACAAAGGGAATATTTTAGAAACCATCTGAGAAACTTCCTTTAGGGCTGAGCAGTCCAGCACAGCTGAGAAGGTTGTGAAGGAAGGTTTTTTTATGGCAGTACCAAAGTAGATCATTATGGAGAGCTGCCTGCTGCTGGGGCAGGAGAAAGGGTGAGCAGGAGATGCCTTTTGTGTTTCCATGGAGAGATTTTGGTCCATCCACCCCGACTGCAGCGCTGCCTCAGCGTGAGATTCAAAGACCTGCTCCTGTTTTCTCTTTGCTCTCCATGGCACCAAACCCTGCAGATATTCTGATGGAATATCCTCTTGCAAAGTGGCTGCTTCATGCTGCAAAAACCCTTCTTGCTGCACCCCACATCACATCTTCTCTGGCTCAACAATGACACGGGAATTACACAAAATCGGGCGGGGCACAATTAAAATCGACCAAAATGCTTTTTTTTTGCACTGAAAATCAAAGCCTCAAGCTCTGGCACCAGAGCAGCTCTTTTCCCTCCTGCCTCCCCACGTGGGGAYGTGCCTGGCTCCCTCTCCTGAGCTCTGACTGCTGGAGTCTGACCTTCTGCACACACATGAGCTCATTTACGTGAGCAGCTTTATAAAACCATTGAGATTGCTCAGATGAGGCGAGTTGTGCAAGCAGTATTCTTGGAAAGAGAAGTAACTCCCATTCCGGCTACGGCAGGATTATTATTCCCTTTGTGGAAAGAGAGCTCTCAGAATTTAATATAAAATTTTCAATGCTCTGCAGGCTTCAGAATTATTGTATAGAATTTCATCATGAGAGCACACCTGATATAGGATGATGCGGACCCCTTTGATATATTCTATAGAAAGAATCTTAAAACGTATTTTCAATTTACTGGTCTAGTGCTTGCCATTACATTTGAACAGACTTCCAGCGCGAGAGGAAGGCAAATCTCTTACTCTCTGTAAATTGTTTTTCCACAGGAACAGTTGACAAGGTGCCGCCACTTCGCTCTCTTCAGGAAAGGAGGCAATGCAGCCAAAGCCATTATAAATTCCCTTCAGTGCCTCAAAACACTCCAGCAACAAYACCATTCAATTCTCTGCCCTCACAKCGATGCCAAGCCTCAGATAAAGCCAGGCACCCTGAGCCCAGCTGGGGGGAACAGAGTTTTAGAAAGCACTGGTAATTCCATCCCAATGCAKCCCTAAACACAGTTTTCATGTCTCTCACCATGCAAAGACACCAGAACAGCTTTGTAGCACCAGYTCTGGAGGTGAACAAAAGGAGAAATAGTAAGGATTGCACCTGGGAGAAGGAAATAAGGATGGGAGCTGTTCCAGAGGAAGAGGAACTCACCTTGGTGAGGAGCACCACGCGTTTCTGCAGCCGCCTGACCAGCGCTTCCTGGTGCTCGCGCTTCTTCTTCTCGTCCACGAGCTGGCTCTGGACCCGCAGGAGATCCTCCTGCAGCTGCTGCCGGGCYTTCTCCAGCATTCGGGCACTGGAAAGATAACACAGACCTGTGAGCTCTGGAGTGTTGCCTCTCCATCATCAGCAGAGATCAGGAAAAGCCCAGAGCAGGAGCATCACCATGCACAGGACCCAGGGTCACTCTCATTTTAAGGCTGCCCATTGCAAACCAGGCTGCTGCAGCCTCATTGTCAAAAAAAGAGAGGAGAGGAGAACCACCCCAGGGACTTCTTGTGCAGCACAAGGCAATTACTGCACCCTCACACGTACCAAGCATTTAAATAATTGCATTTCTGCTCCAAAATCAATCCGTTTGCCTTCGAGAACGCGCCTCGTTTTCAACAAACAACGCACGTTCTTGGGCTCTACTGGATCTWTTCCTTTTTTTCTAACAAAGTAGAAGAAAAGGCAGGTTGGATATGATCTGTTTTGAGTGACAGTACTCAGTGAGTAATTACAGCCACCACCTGCACACTGCTCTTGCCAGAAGAGAAATGTCCTCTGAGCCAGGTGATTAGCACTTCTTTTGAGATGTGGACATGAAACCACGACATCCTGGGCACTGTTCTTCTCATTTCCCCGTGCAGGATGCTGTGGTGATGCRCAGATATCTGTGTGCTCCTGGAGGAGCTGTCCCTGTGTGCCCCCAGCCCCTCATTCAGCTGCCAGGGCATCTCCCAAAAACAGCTCATCACCCATCAGCTGCTGACAAAACACTCTATCAATAACAAAACAAAGGTGAAATCACTCCTGTGATTGCTAAAGAGTCAGTTCATCATTTAAATATGACCAGTTTATCCAAAACTGTGCTAAGTGTTTAACRAGTGAGCAGGACATGAAATAAAAATATTGCACATAAGTCAAAAACCCTCAAGCAAGAGGGAAAGATCAAACCCAACATCCCCAGCTTAGTCAGGAACAGAAGAACTTTGTTTCTCCGATGTTGGAAACAACACTGGAAGATTTATGAGTGCTTCTGAGGGGTCTTATTCATCATTATAATTGAAAGAAAATAAATAAAACTGTTTTTAAATAAAATAGCACTATTGTTAAGGTACTGTTTAGACAGATCCAAAAGGGAATACTTAAAGAACACTTCTAGCATAAATCAAGTACAACCTGCGCTGCCAGGTCACCAAATTGGATTTCTKGGGAAATGTAAGTAGGAATTCACAAGAATTCCAAAGCAGCTGTCTCCCTACCTCAAAAATATTTCTCTTTTTAAAGAAGTATTTTTTTTAAAGCAGTGAATGAATTATGAAACCTGTTTAAAGCTCCAGTTTAATTTGGAACCATTCACAGACCAATTTAATTATTGGGAGCTGTGTAACAGTCTCTTCTGTGTCATATTCGGGTGGGAAGGTTCATCAAGAGGGCTTCACATCTGCATTTGRAACTGGATAATTGTGTTAGCAAAACACCACTGCTTCCTTGGGTCTGCTTTAGTGGAAGGATGGGTAAAACCTGGTAAACTCAATTTCCACCTTAATATTCATTACATTGTTCAACAACATTCCTTTTTGTGCATAGGGTAAATGTAAGTGAAAAACCCTCATTAACTGTGTTAGAACAATTAAAATCACRCTACAGAAACCTTGCTGCAAATGTTTTTTTGCTTTATCAAAGAACCTGTGTCCTGATTAGAGTCAGAACAAAAGAAGAAAATGCAAACATAAGATTAATTACTATGAAACAGCCAAAATCTTACATTTGATTATTGCAAAACATTTTGATAAGACAACGGAGGAATCTTTTTTCCTAATCTCTCAATATTGTGACTTATCTCTATAAATGTTGAGTGGACCGACAAATTATGATTGATTTGACATTCACCAAGAAAAATGAGATATGTGCTATGTTYCCTCCCCAAAATAATGAAAAATATTTGAGATTCATGTCTCATGGAGAGCACAGACATTCAGCCACACACAAAACTTTCAAACTAAGTTGGAAAACARCTGTTTCAAAACATGAGAGAAGTTGAGCAAAGAGAGACAAATGGGCAATTTCCTCAGCCACTGCATGGAAATAACACCTTCATCTGTTTATATTTCAGCCTCAGCACAAATGTGATGTTAATGTACCTAAAATTCAAATGCCTGAGATGCCTGTGAAWGCAGGGACAATCCTCAAACTCCTCRAAATRACTGCTACCATAGGTTTCCTTGCWGTGGAAGGCGTGAAATTCAACTTCCTCACAASTCTCCACACCATGCCAAAGCACATTATTAAAATCCTTTCTTCCTCTCTTTGGACTGATTGGTAATTCTTCCAGAAACTGCACCAAATACAACACAAACTGCCTCTATGAGGAAAAATCCCAAAATTCTATTTCTTATTGACACAAAACAGGATTTRAAAGTAGGTACTTGGAAGGAAAAGCCTTTAAAGCCAGACTTGTGTGCTCTTCTTCCAGCCAGATGACACCTATGGCTTTTCAGAAGTAATTGCTCGCTCAATGTGAGCGTTAAAAAATAAAATAAAAGAGGCCCAAAGTTCTCCATTCAACATAAGCTTGGAGAAGTGGCATTTTAAAAAATCTTTGCAAGTTCAAAGTAAACCTTTTAAAGCCTTAAAGAGAAAAAGTCATTTCTGTTTATCAGCCTATTAATGTTCCTTKTTCCACATCCCAGTGAATGAGATGCCAACATCTTTCTGTTCTGAGCTGTTGAGACTCTTCATATTTTGCTCTTCCCTTCTGTAATCCMCTTTAATGCAATCTTAATGATAAAACTTCATTTTCCAGAATATTCTTTGAAAGACTGAGAACAATGAGGGCAYAGACTGAATACTGAAGCCGTAAGATACATTTTAATAATCTCCTTCAAAAATGACAAAAGAAGCCGACAGCTTCCCCCCCACCCCCGGTGATCCATAAAACATTATTTTAATCATTGCATCCTTTCAGTAGCCAAGTTACCACCTTGGAGTTACTTAAAAAAAAAAGAATAACAGAGAAATAATAAAAATAAATAACAGGATGGCAGAACCAGTCTGTGTGTGAGCCTGAGAGGGAAAACAAGGGGTCCACAGTGACAATTAGAGGAGCAACAGTGTCTGGGTCATGTTGTGGCTCRGGAGGAGATGAGACACGTGTAGCTACCAGGGCCAGGTGCCAGGAAGGAAATCACATCAAAAGGAAAAGCAGAATGTGATGGGAGGAACACCGAGGGAGCACAGAGGGAAAACACAAAAACACAGTGACAGCACCACGGCAGCGCAGAGAAACGCGCTGCAGCCATCAACATCCTCGTGTCAGAAAAAAAAAATAATTAAAAAAAAAAAGGGTTAATGCAGAAACTAATGAGGCAAAAAGGAGCAGGGGAAATTGTTTTGTAGAGAGGCATTTGGATGAAGGAAGGCCCGTTCCTGGGACTTGACAAGTCGCAGCCATCTCAGTGAATCCACACACGAAACTGAGAAACAGCGCTGAACAAAAATGTCATTTCTCATCCCAGCTCCTCCCCCACGGGTTTTATAAGAAAACACAAAGTATAAGCAAAAACAAGGTAACTCCAGCATTTCTGTTATTGTCCAGTTGAAAGCAACAGGACATCCCTGCCTGTGCCYTCCCTCAAGGATCCTTCCAGACTCCAATTTCTGCATAATTTCCCCACCTGCACCATCCAGGGTGGGAATTAAAAAGGGGAAACAGAAGGGGCAAGATGAAAACAGCCTGACTTAAACAGGGACAGGACACAGGAAAGAAAAAGTGAGACTTRACAAAACAGAAAAATACCCATTCCATGTTAAAAAGGTAAAAAACTGATCCATTAAAAAATGAAAAGGCTGAAAACACAGCTGCAGAATGGAGCTGCCTAAACTAGTTTAACATTTAAGGCAGGTAAACTAAAAAAAACAACCATCAGGAAGGAGGAGAAGACTTCARTGCTACAAGTATTCCAGCTCAGAAGTCAGAGGTTTGGGTGCTAACTTTTCCTACAATCAGATTTCTGCTTCCTTTTCCTTTTCACAGGCAGAATTGTGAGTGTAGGGAAGCAGCAGCACCCACCCTGTGCTCAAATCCTGCCCTGCTGTGGGGACCAGCAGGTCTGTGTGATCTATTTGCTCACTACATTCAGAAWGAGAAATGATACAAAATATGAACATCTTTAGCAGAAGTTATCACAGGGGCTATGTTTTATTTAAAGCTTTAACTGGGCCTCACAGAGAGCCRTATGAAATACTGCTGCATAAAATACTACAGAGAGTTGGTGGGAAAACAAGCTTTCTTCTTGCTATTTATTCCTCCCAAGCCTTCAGCAAACATCTGCAGACTTTSTCTTGGTTCACACCTTGTATTTCCTCAAAGATCTTTTGTATAACTCACCAGCATCAGGCTTCCATAAATCAAAAATTATTCAAAAGTAAACAGATCATACATCACACTGCTGCCCGACATACAAGCAAGACTCAAATCATACTGAATTTATAATGAGGAAACAACATAAAGAGAATTATTTCGCTACTGCAGCCAGATGAAATGGGTAAGAAGCAGACAGGCATTTGGAGTTTTATTGGTACACTGACAATGTTTTATCTGKGAGACAGTATTTAATTTAACTCCCTAACCAGCAGCGTAACTATCAGGCTCAGAAATGCAGCTCCACCGAAGTGAACTGCTGGAGAAGAGAAATAACACACATTTTCTGCCCCAGCCCCAGTACAACGGCCATAATTAAGTGGTAGGAGCTAAGTTTTATTAAAATAAATTCACATCAAGCACCCCATGCTCCTTTTCATCGCAGGGTCAACACAAGGGAGCTGAGACCAGGAGTGTGGCCAAAATACCCAGCCCAGGGTGGCTCCACCTGAGCGGGCACTGAATCAACCCCTGGATGTGAAAATCCCTGTGCTGAACACGCCTTCCCCATCACCATCCAGGTGAGAGTGCAAGCAGCATCTCAATAAGTGAGGAACATCCCTGTTTTGTTTTGTTTTGGCATGGAAACATCAATAGTTTCAACATCCATCGCTAAATYCTGGAATGTAAAGTATTTCAAGGGTGAAATAACTACAGGCATAAATGTC